ACTCTTATATGGATGTGAAGCTTGGGTGGTAAATGCAGCAGCGAGGAGACGGTTGGAGGCAGTGGAGATGTCCTGTCTAAGGGCAATGTGTGGTGTAAATATTATGCAGAAAATTCGGAGTGTGGAAATTAGGAGAAGGTGTGGAGTTAATAAAAGCATTAGTCAGAGGGCAGAAGAGGGGTTGTTGAGGTGGTTTGGTCATTTAGAGAGAATGGAAGCATATAAATCTATAGGGGAAGGAAGGAGGGGTAGGGGTCGTCCTCGAAAGGGTTGGAAAGAGGGGGTAAAGGAGGTTTTGTGGGCAAGGGGCTTGGACTTCCAGCAAGCGTGCATGAGCGTGTTAGATAGGAGTGAATGGAGACGAATGATACTTGGGACCTGACGATCTGTTGGAGTGTGAGCAGGGTAATATTTAGTGAAGGGATTCAGGGAAACCGGTTATTTTCACATAGTCGGACTTGAGTCCTGGAAATGGGATGTACAATGCTTGCACTTTAAAGGAGGGGTTTGGGATATTGGCAGTTTGGAGGGATATGTTGTGTATCTTTATACGTATATGCTTCTAAACTGTTGTATTCTGAGCACCTCTGCAAAAGCAGTGATAATGTGTGAGTGTGGTGAAAGTGTTGAATGATGATGAAAGTATTTTCTTTTTGGGGATTTTTCTTTCTTTTTTGGGTCACCCTGCCTCGGTGGGAGATGGCCAACTTGTTGAAAAAAAAAAAAAACGATAAAATTGGTTAAGGACAAGCTCTCTGGAACGGGTTAATATCGTTAACTGAGGGTCCACTGTAGTAGTAATACAGTGTGGTAGAACAGTCAACATGCACATGAGTAAAAGGTTATAACAGCAATTACTTGGGTAGCATAAAAATAGGTTAGATACATATATCTGTTAGTGATTGGATTTGAGAATACCACTTTCAGTGTTCCTCCTCTTATGTTCTTGTGTAGTACACCTACCATCCGACTTACGATCTGCTTGACTTACGACCACTCGACTTACGACCATTTTGACTTACGACCGGTTTCTCGGAACCGAACTCGGTCGTAAGTCGGATGGTAGGTGTATTAGCAGCATTGACTTATGTAATGGCAGGGTTTATTGTTTTGAGGAAGATTTTTGCTAATACTTCAGAGATGATGAAGCTACCTTTATTTTGCTTGATTGTGTTAGAAACAGTGCTTAATGATGATTCGAGGTATATACGTCTGCGGAAATTAGGTGCTCTGATCACTAGTTGGGCGTTGTTGAATTTCATGAGGTGATTGGTAGAATTCTGGTGTTGCACGCAGGCATTGTTCAAGCTATCACTCCTACATGCGTTAATGTGTTCATTGAGACATGTTTTGAGGTTCCTTGTTGTTTCACCTACGTATATTCTGTTGCAGCCTCCACAAGGTATAGTGGTGGTTCGATTTTGTCCTGGTTAGATCCCTTATGGAAGTGCTGGATGCCATGGCGACTAGTGTTAGTTTGTGTGAGTACCTTAGAAACCTTCAATGCAACCTGGGTGGTGGGAAGGATTATAACTTTGTGAGGAGTGGTGTTGGTGCATGAAGAATTGATGCTCTGAAGAGCTCTTTTCTTGCAGTTTTTGATGAAAATGGAAGAAAAATGTAGATCAGTGAAGGTTTGGTGTATGTAAGTACATTCCTTGTCAAGAAACTCAGGACTACAAATTCAGTATGCTCTTGGGAAAAATCTGATGATGATGCCTCATTTTTGTAGGTTTACAATAACCTTGGAATCTTAGATTATCTACTTTGTGAATGAGGATGTCTAGAAAATGTAGCTTATCATTGGACTCTTCTTCAAGTGTAAAGTGGATAGCCGGTTAAACTGCGTTGAGCCTTGCCTGAAGATTCCGCACATCAAAACGTTTGGAAGTTATTATGAGGACATTGTCCACATAATGTAACCAAGTGATGCTGGTGGGGATGATGATGGTGAAGTGTTCAGCTTCCAGGTGCTCCATGTACAAGTTGACTAAGACAGTGCTGATGGAGGACCCCATTCCCATACCATAGGTTTGTTTGTAGAACCTGTTATTGAAAGAAAAGCGACTGAAATTAATGCAGAGTTCAGTCAAGTCGACAAAACCTCCAGGAGGTAGAGGAGGATTCGGGTCCTGATTGATTTTGTCTTAGAAAGTCAATGGCTTGTGTGGTAGGTACTTTAGTGAAGACAGAGGTTATGTCCAGACCACTTAGTTTCTTGTTTTAGATGGAGAGGTTTCTGATGCGGTTGAGAAGGTCGCCTGAATGCTTAAGATGAGCAGGACTGATGGTCCCCAGAAGGCAGGAAAGATGCTTGGCAAGAACTCCGGCTGCCTATACCCAATGCACCACACAAACTAGCCGGAGTTTTTGCCAAACATCTTTCTTGCCTTCTGGGGATCATCAGCCCTGCTAATTTTAAGCACTGGTGATTTTGCCCACTTTGAGCCCTATTTTGGGCCAATTCCAGTGTTCCAGCTGACCAAAGTCATAGTTGTTTATCTAGAACTCCTTTTATTCTTTCAATAGAGTGCAAGAAAATCCCTATTTACCTATTTCAACTACCCAATAAAGTGATCAGAAATTTCACACAAAATTCAAGAAAGGCCAATTTCAAAATAAGAGTCCGGAATAAGTAATGTAGACATTCTAGGTACTAAAATAACATTTTCTCTTTTCATTAGTTACCTTTCCAGGCCCCTCTTATATTACGTCTGCTTTTTATTTTGAATTTTTATTCACACAAAAAATAGAAGATTTACTGTTATTCAGACTACGGCATAATGGTAATAATTGTATAAATAATGTCAGTGCATTTGTGAGTGCATATTAGACCAGCCCGTTGACGCGTATTGGATGCTTGATGCGTTTTGTTTACTCTTGAACATTAAGATTAAGATGTTTATTTTGACATGATACATGGTTGTACAGAGGAATATGATGTTGGGTGTACATGCCAAAAGCCCCTTTGTATGCAGAGCATTTCGGGCAAACTTAAAGATTAACTTAAGATTTGGAAGGCAATAATAGTTCATATGGTTATTAGACGAGTTACAGTGAGTACAAGAGAATTGAATATTCTGTCAGGTAATGCTACGTGACTTTGATAAGTCTAGTAGAGAATTATTACACTATTGAATTAGTTTATAAAGATTACAGTATTACAGTGGAACAATTTAAAACAATTTCCCATATGATGTATTACGGTTTAGTACTACATATTTAAAACAATGAAATTTGGTATTACAGTGGAACAATTTAAAAACAATTTACATTATGATGTATTACAATTTAGTACTATTTAAAACAATGAAATTTAGACGTCCTAATTTTGTAGTAGTGAGTAAGTGGTTGAACATTGGCAAAAAATGAACATTCCCGCTACTTTGAACTCAATTTCATGGTACTTTTAGTCTAAACCATTCATAATCATCTCCATTTCTGTAATATATTTTCCATTCTATCAAATGAGACCAAGAAACTCTCAATACAACCATAAAAACTATACGAAAATACACCGCAAACACCAAAAACATGGTCCCAGTTTTTTTTCTCATTATGCACTGAGCGCTGCAGGATTTTTTTTTATACTGCGCACACTGACCACGCAGACCCATTCTCTCATCTGCAATATTGGAAGCCACTAGAATTCTGGCATAGTATTATTGGACCGACCCTGGCATCATAGCCGTAATATTACGGGACTTACCCATAGTCTCTTAAGGTTTAGGGACTGATCACGTTGTCTTTACCTCTCAGTTGCTTCTGCTGTCACTAATGTTTAGTTACCTCTGTATTCGTTTGAATAAGCATGCTGCGTAGGCGACACATTTTGAGAGTAAAATTTCCCAACTGTTGCACATGTCTTTCTCATTTGCAACACAGCTGGGCCTCTTGCCAGGAAGCTTCTAGAATGGTTTCCTACAGAGCAACAGTTCATAGGTACACGAGAATGGAGGAGCGCTACAGTAGGTTTCCTTTTTCAACCTCTTTTTAAAGCCACTCAAAAATTTAGCTGCACATACTTAACTTAACTTTTAACCTCACTAATTTCCCCTGTATATATAGGGTTAGGTATTTGTGACTTGATAAAGCCTGCTGTGTGGGCAGACATACGGTATTTGTCTCTCACCTCAGTCATAGCTTGCAACCTTACATGAATGACCAGGATTTTTCACCCTGGCAGAAAAGCGGGGTATTGTTGACTTTTTACTTATTGGATGCTTGGGCTTTTCTCAGAGTCTTGTATCTTGACAGTATAATTGGTAATTCTCTGGTTCATAAAAGATTGCCTAGTTTTTTTTTTTTTTTTTTTTTTTTTCTCTCTCTCAAGTCAGCCGTCTCCCACCGAGGCAGGGTGACCCAAAGAGAAAGAAAATCCCCAAAAAAGAATATACTTTCATCATCATTAAACACTTTTACCTCACTCACACATAATCACTGTTTTTGCAGAGGTGCCCAGAATACAACGGTTTAGAAGTATATACAGTGGACCCCCGCATAACGATATTATTTCAATCCAGAAGTCTGTTTGGGTGCCGTTATAGACCGAATTTGTTCCCATAAGAAATAGTGAATTAGATTAGTCCATTTCAGACCCCTAAAAATACACCTACAAAAGCACTTACAGAAATAAACTTACATAGTTGAGGTAAAGATATGGCAGGGAGATCCATACTTGTATATTTAGAGTATGCTTTATTACATAGGTTGTTTTTTTAGTAGTTCATCAAATGACTCCCAGAGATGTATTTCTCATTCTCCAAATTGTAGTGTTATTTGTGTTTGAACAGTTTTTATTTTTGATTGAGAGTTTTACCTTGGGTGTTCAAATGTGTGTTCAAGTTCAGATTTTTATTGTCAAAAGCACTGAGTAATCTCTTATCTGAAAGTGGTTTTCAAATCTCAGATTTCCCTCATGCCTTCCCTCCCCTATCATCGTCTTAAGATAACCTTGAAAGAGTTTCTCTATTGATAATAATCAAATTTTTTTTCCCTAGGTTGGTGTTTGGTCAAGTGAGTCCTGTGTGTGCAATTGTTGGGGGCGTTCTTGCACAAGAGATCATCAAGGCTGTATCCCAGAAGGATCCACCTCTTAACAATTTTTTTTTCTTTACTACACTAGATGGTGCTGGTGTTGTGGAGTGCATTGGATATTGAAAATATATAGAAATATAGAAAGTTGACTATCTAAAGAGTGTGTCAAGAAGTGAATTTACTGGATTAATTTTTCTTGTAAACTTTATACTTTTATGAGAAAACAGAAAATCATCATTATAAAGAAAATGATAAAACTAAAAAAATTGTCATTATAAAGGTAAACAAAGTTTTTATTTCACAAATGTCGAGAGGATATTTAATGTTAAGGTTTTTATTGTATTACAAGTTAGAAGTCATCCTACCTTGGTGGGAGATGGCTTGATGTATAAGAAAAGATTTAGTTCTTTAGCTGTCTGTAATAGTTCTATACAAATTTTAAACCTCATGAGCACAAGGTTTAGATTGTATTTGTTGGTAATAAAATTTTGATTTAAATTCATGTTTATATCCTCTACAAGTTTCTTAATACAGTTGACCATTGGATAACACAGTAGTTATGTTCCTGAAAACATGCATAATCAAAAATGTTTGTAAACTGAGCTGAAGAACACATGGGAAATAGGGTTTCATTAATTAGACCCCCAAAAAAGACAAAAATTTTTGTATAGGTCACGAGATTGGAAAAAATATGGTAATGTAATTGTAAGGGAGCAAGGGGCTAGTAACCCCTTCTCCTGTACAAATTACTAAATTTAAAAAGAAAAATTTTCGTTTTTCTTTTTGGGCCACCCTGCCTTGGTGGGATATGGCCGGTTTGTTGAAAAAAAAAATGTAAGTCAATGTGGTGATGTGCATCAAAGATCCTGTATCTGCATCTCTTCTAGTGGACGGAAATGCCTTATTGTTTGGTTGTTCCACTCATTGCAACTGTATGTGGGGTAAAAGGTTGGGGTGTACAGGGGGGGTTAGACGAGATGGTTGGGGTGAGGGTGGTTCAGTACCGGGGTGGGGGGAAGGTTGGAGGCTAGTGCTGACAGGTGGAGGCTGGAAGCAATAGGGTGGTGTGGATGATAGGCGAGTGTGCAGCTATTGGTGTGGGCAGTAATGAGAGTTGTGGGTGGCTGTGTGATTTAGGTGTGTAGGAGTGGATATGTGTAGTTCAAGCTGTGAGGAAGTAGTGTGAGTAAAAGGTGTGGTTGCTGGTGGCCCAGTGTGTGAGATGATTTGGATGATGGATGACTAGGTGAATGAGTGCGTAGCTGGTGGTGTAGACGGGTAATGAGGGTGATAGGTGACTCAAGTGATTAGGAATGTGGATGGCATGCTAAGATGAAAAGTCAAGTAAGGTGTAAATGTCAGGTCAGGAAAAAATTGTGTGGGTGAAGGCATGGGGCTGGGCAAGGTGTGGTCTTTAAGTAGTGGGAAATTATGACTGGGGGGAATGGTGTAGGTGTACACATGTAGTCATTTGAGGGGGTGGGGGGAATTGTATGGGTGGGTTGTGAGGGTGGAGGCTGTTGGTTAAGATGGTTTGAGTGGAAGCATATGGCCATGGAGTTGTGTGGGTGGGAGTATAGTCATTCTTTTCAGGTGGTCATAACCTGGGTTTCTCATTCTGCAAATTGATGCCTCATTAAGACCATAGGTTTGTGCTGTCTCTGTCACACATGCACCACTGAAGCTTATCAGATGTCTCTGTTTTCTTTTCTTTGAAATGCCAAAACTTACACTTATGCTTCTTTGCAGGTCCAGAATCCTTAATGTTATCAAATAAGGATTCCTGACATATAGATTAAGGAATTAATCAGTTGAAAAATAAAAGTTGAAGAAATCTTTTCTTTCTGCCTCACGAAAGTATTAAAAGAAATTTTTTTTCACATGAAATATACAGTTTCTTACACAGAAAACAATGATACATGAAGAATAAGTAGTACATGAAGAATAAATACATGAAGAATAAATGACACCTTTATTGAAGATTTATCAATGAGTGATGAGGTGGGAGGAGGGGAGATGATGGAGGTGTATTAGTGTTTGGAAGGGTAATTCCCTTCCTTAAGGACTTTAGGTAGCAATTCCTTTTCTGGGGTTACTTCCCTTCTTTTTTTAATGCCACTGAGAAAACTCAACAGTCACTGGACCTCTGTCGCATCAAAAATCTGTCCATAGAGCTCTGTTTCTGGCGTTCATTTAAGATGTTCCTAAAATGGGCCACAACACTTCATTGAAAAAATCACCAGCATGGCTTGCAATAGCTGTGTCTGGGTGATGTTCATCCATAAAGGCTTGCACCTTTGTCCACATTGTACAAATGTCCTTAATCGTTGAAGAAGGCAACTTCCTCCATCTCTCTCTCCCCACCTCAAGCAATTTCCTCAGTTGTGGTCTGGTCTCTTGCTGTTGCTGATGCTCTTGCAGCACATCAGTGGTTAGTTTTTCATCGCCGTCCTCCAACTCTTCCACATCCTCCCCACTAACCTCCAACCCCATGGACTTCCCCAATGACACAATAGATTCCACAACTGGTATAGGCTCCTCAGGGTTAGCCCCAAACCCTTCAAAATCCCTCTCTTGTACACATTGTGGCCACAATTTCCTCCAAGCAGAGTTCAAAGTCCTGTAAGTCACTCCCTCCCAAGCCTTACCTATAAGGTTTATGCAACTGAGGATACTAAAGTGATCTTTCCAAAACTCTCTTAGGGTCAGTTCAGTGTCTGAGGTCACTACAAAGCACTTTTGAAACACTGCTTTGGTATACAGTTTTTTGAAATTTGAAATGACCTGCTGGTCCATGGGCTGGAGGAGAGGAGTGGTGTTAGGAGGCAGAAATTTCAGTTTTATGAAACTCAGTTCCCTCACAATTGCTCTTGCAAGTCTGGAGGATGAGCAGGAGCACTGTCTAATACCAGGAGGCACTTGAGGTCCAATTTAATTTCCAGGAGGTATTTTTTCACAGTGGGGCCAAACACATGATAGAACCAATCATGGAAAATGTCCCTAGTGACCCATTCTTTACTGTTTGCCTTCCACATCACACAAATTAGCCTTAATAACACTGTTGTTCTTGAACACTGGGAGTTTCAGAGTGATACATGAGTAAAGGCTTCACTTTGCAATCCCCACTAGCATTACTACAAAACATTAGAGTTAGCATGTCTTTCATAGGCATGTGTCCTGGCAGTACTTTTTCCTCCTGTGTAATGTAGGTCCTGTTTGGCACTTTCTTCCCAAGAAGGCCTGTTTTGTCACAATTAAACACTTGTTGGGGTTTTAATTTTTCAGTGTCTATGTACTCCTTGAATTCCTGCACATATTTTTCAGCTGATTTTTGGTCACAACTGGCAGCCTCACATGCCTTATCACACTGTATGCCACTATGATTCTTAAATCTCTCAAACCAACCTTTGCTGACCTTAAAACCACTAACATCAACACTAGTTCCAGGCATTTTCTTAATGAGATCTGCATGCAACTGCCTTGCCTTTTCACATATGATTGACTGTGAAACACTATTTCCTGATAATTGTTTGTCGTTGATCCACACCAATAACAGTCTCTCCACATCTTCGAGTATTTGTGATCTCTGTTTTGTAAGTATACACTTGCACCTTTTGCAACAACAGCTTACTTGATTGCCTTTCTGTTGGCCAAGATAGTAGCAATTGTTGATTGGGGTTTGTTATACAACCCGGCCAGCTTGGAGGTACGCACTCCACTTTCATACTTGCGATTATCTCTTTCTTCAATTCGATAGTATTTCTCACCCTTTATACCACAGAGTTGGCACTAGAAGCTTTCTTTGGGCCCATGGTCATTTATTTAGCAGCTACAAGCACTAAAAACAATGGAATAATACAAAATGTATTGTATGTATGTGTGGAACCATCCAGACTGGCTCGTAAACAATGGCACACTAGCTGAAGGCAGGGCAGCTGAGGCACTCTCAGGCCAGATGGACAGGTGGACGCATTCAGGATGATTGTCCTTAACCGGGTTTTTCATCATTGGCCAACCCAATATTTTTATGCTAAAACGCATCGCTATCCGATGTCATCGTTACCCGAGGGTCCACTGTATATATATAATTAGGTAACAAAAGATTGGATATCAGGTTAGAGGGAGAGAATATGGAGGAGGTGAATGTATTCAGATATTTAGGAGTGGATGTGTCAGCAGTTGGGTCTATGAGAGATGAGGTGAATCATAGAATTGATGAGGGGAAAGAGGTGAATGGTGCACTGAGGAGTCTGTGGAGACATTATCCATGGAAGCAAAGACGGTAACATATAAGAGTATAGTTATACCAATGCTCTTATGTGGGTGTGAAGCATGGGTGGTGAATGTTGCAACACGGAGGAAGCTGGAGGCAGTGGAGATGTCGTGTCTGAGTGCAATGTGTGGTGTGAATATTATGCAGAGAATTCATAGTTTGGAAATTAGGAGGAGGTGCAGCATTACCAAAACTATTATCCAGAGGGCTGAGGAGGGGTTGTTGAGGTGGTTCAGACATGTACAGTGGACCCCCGCATAACGATTACCTCCGAATGCGACCAATTATGTAAGTGTATTTATGTAAGTGTGTTTGTACGTGTATGTTTGGGGGTCTGAAATGGACTAATCTACTTCACAATTTTCCTTATGGGAATAAATTCGGTCAGTACTGGCACCTGAACATACTTATGGAGTGAAAAAATATTGTTAACCGGGGGTCCACTGTATATAGGTTGGAAGGAAATAGAATGACTTCAAGAGTGTATAAATCTGGTGGAGGGAAGGCAGGGTAGAGGTCGGCCTAGGAAAGGTTGGAGGGAGGGGGGTAAAGGAGGTTGTCTATGCGAGGGACTTGGACTTCTAGCAAGCATGCATGAGCGTGTTTGATAGGAGCAAATGGAGATAAATGGTTTTTAGGACTTGACATGCTGTTGGAGTGTGAGCAGTGTAATGTTTATGAGGGGATTCAGGGAAACCGGCAGGCCGGACTTGAGTCCTGGAGATGGGAAGTACAGTGCCTGCACTCTGAAGAAGGGATGTTAATGTTGCAGTTTTAACTGTAGTGTAAGTGCACCTCTGGCAAGACAGTGATGGAGTGAATAATGGTGAATATTTTTCTTTTTCGGGCCACCCTGCCTTGGTGGGAAACGGCCGATGTGTTAATAAAAAATAGGCTAAATTAAATTGCGCTTGTTATAATAAGGTTAGGTAAGTTTTCTCAGGTTCTTTTAGGACAAAATTTTTAATTTTTACATTAACATAAATGAAAAAAATATACCTTATAACTTATAAGAGAAAATTTTAGAAATGACTTAATTTTAAATGAGTTCTTGCTAATTAATCAATTTTGCCTATTTGGCACCACACACACACACACACGGAAGGGGGGAGGGGGGGAGAGAGAGAGAGAGAGAGAGAGAGAGAGAGAGAGAGAGAGAGAGAGAGTGAGTGAGTGAGTGAGTGAGTGAGTGAGTGAGTGAGTGAGTGAGTGAGTGAGAGTGAGA